CTCTTCCTCCTCGTCCCCTTCTCCATCCTCCCGGGAATCCCCCCGTTTTCCCGGCAGATGACGGCACGGGGAGCGAGGAGGAGGAGGAGGAGGAAGAATCGGAGTCCCCCGAACCGCCCGAGCTGGACGCCGTCCTGCCCCGCGCCCCGGAGGGGGGGGTCCCGCAGCCCCCCGCCTCCCTCGGGGAGTGCTGCCAGCCCCCCCCCTGGCACCCCTGGGACCCCCTCCTTCCTCCTCCTCCTCCTCCCGCGCAGCCCCCCGCCCGCCTCCCTCGGGGCGGGGGTCGCGGGGGTCGGCGCGGGGGTCGCGGAGGATCCGGGGGGGGCCCGAGGGGCTTCGGGCACCGCTGCGGGAGGAGCGGCTTCGCCGAGGAAAAACCCTACAAGTGCCTGGACTGCGGGAAGAGCTTCACCCGCAGCTCCAACCGCAACGCCCACCGCCAGCGCCTGCACTCGGGGGGGCGCGGGGGGGAGCCGGACAAGCATCACCAGGACCACCGGGACCACCGGGACCAGCAGCGGAACCCCCCCCAGCTCGCCTGCGGCAAGTGCGGGCAGAGCTTCGGCTGGAGCGCCGGGCTGGCCAAGCACCGGAGAGGGGAGAGACCCCCGGGCGGCTGCGGGGAGTGCGGGAGGAGCCCCGGCGCCCACCTGAGGACGCACCTGAGGGGCGAGAGACCCTTCGCCTGCCCCGACTGCGGGAGGAGCTTCAGCTACAGCTCGGCCTTCCTCAAGCACCGCCGGGGGCACGGAGGGGGCGGCGGGGAAGGGGAGGGGGAGAGGGAGGAGAAGAAGCCCCCCTTGCCCTGCCCCAGCTGCGGGAAGAGCTTCGCGGGGAGTTCGGCGCTGCTGCGGCACCAGCGGAGCCACTCGGGGCGGGCGCGGCCCCGCTGCGGGAGGGGTTTCCCGGGGGGCTCGTCCTTCCTCCCGTCCCTCCCGTCCCACCGGCGCGGCCGCGGGGCCGCGGGGCAGGGGGAGAAACCCCCGCCCCACACGTGCGGCGACTGCGGGAAGGGCTTCGGGGGCAGCTCCGCGCTCGTCCGGCACCAGCGGCTCCACCTGGGGTAGAGCCCCGGAGGGGGGGCGGCGGAGCCGGGGTGGGAAGGGGAGGACGGGGACGGGATCCCTGCGGAGCTGGGAACCCTCCGGAGCCGGAGCTGGGAGCCCTCTGGAGCCAGGACCCCTTTGGAATGGGAGCCCTCTGGAGCTGGGAGCCCTCCAGAACTGGGAGCCCTCTGGAGCCGGAACCGGGAGCCGGGAGCCGGGAGCACTCCAGAACCCGAGCCGGGACACCTCTGGAGCCAGAACCGGGACCCCTCTGGAGCCAGAGCTGGGATTCCTCCAGAACTGGGACCCCTCTGGAGCCGGGACCCTTCTGGAGCCAGAACCGGGACCCCTCCAGAGCCAGGAGCCCTCCGGAGCCCGAGCCGGGACACCTCTGGAGTCGGAACCGGGAGCCCTCCAGAGCCAGAGCTGGGACCCCTTTGGAGCTGGGAGCTGGGACCACTCCAGAGCCAGAGCCGGAACCCCTCCAGAGCCAGAATTGTGACCCCTCTGGAGCCAGAACCGGGACCCCTCTGGAATGGGACCCCTCCAGAACTGGGACCCCTCCAGAACTGGGACCCCTCTGGAACCAGGACTGGGACCCTCCAGAGCCAGGACCCTTCCAGAGGCAGAGCCGGGACCCCTCCAAAGCTGGAGCTGGGACCCCTCCAGAGCCGGGACCCCTCCGGAGCCGGGACCGGGACCCCTCCGGAGCCGGACCCGGGACCCCTCCGGATCTGATGGGAGAGGAGCCTTGGGGGGGATTGGACTTGAGGGGACGTTTCAGCGCCCTCGGGGGGGAATTGGGGGGGATTCCTCGGCCCCGGAGCAGCGGGAAACCCTTGGACCCCCCCCAAAACGGGGAAGGGACCCCGCGATCGTGGAGCGGTGGGAATTCCTGGATCCCGGAGCGAGCGGTGGGAATTCCTCGATCCCGGAGCGGCCACGTCGATGGGGGGAGTCTGTGGGGTGGGATGGGGTGGCGTGGGAGGGTTTGGGGGGAGGAAAGAGGAGGATAAAAGTGGAGGGAGGACCGGGGGGAGGGTAGGAGCGGGTTATCCCAAAGCATCCGCGGGGCCGATCCCGGTGCTCGGAGCGATCCCGGTGCTCGTGGGGCCGATCCCGGTGCTCGGAGCGATCCCGGTGCTCGGAGCGATCTCGGGGCCGATCCCGGTGCTCGTGGGGCCGGATCCCGGAGCTCGGAGCGATCCCGGGGCCGATCCCGGGGCCGATCCCGGTGCTCGGAGCGATCCCGGAGCGATCCCGTCCCTCCCCTTCCCCCGCCGAGTAAAAAAACCAAGAGTTGTTGGTGTTCAGCGGCCCTGGGGTCTTGCAGCCCCCCCTCCCCGCCAAAATCTGGGCTGGAGGGGGGTCTGCGACTCAGGGGAGGGGTCCCCTCGCCCCCCCAAGGACTCAAAATTTTCTGGCGGTGAAACCCCAGCACGGGGGGGGGATGGAGAGGGGGGTGACCCTGCAGGACCCGCCCCCGGCACAGATTTGGGGTCTTGGGGGGGTCTCGGGGGTCGCGACAGCGCCGGCGAGGACGGGAATGAGGGGGGGGGACCTCCCCCCAAATGGGGGGGCGGGGGGGGGGGGGGGGGGGGGGGGGGGGGGGGGGGGGAGGGGGGGGGGGGGGGGGGGAGATGCCGAGGCGGGGCCGGGGGTCTCTCTCTCACCATCTCCCCCCCCCTTTTTCCACCGCCTTCGCCTTCCTCCGAGCAGCCCCCGGGGGTTGAACTTCCTGGGTCAGCGCTGCTGCCTCCTCCTCCTCCTCCTCCTCCTCCATTGTCCGTCCGGCCGCGGCCGGAGCCTCCGGTGGGAGCGGGGGGACCCCCGGGGCGGCTTTGGGGGGGGGGGGCGGGTGTGCATCCCCCCGAGCTCGGAGGGAGGGAGGGAGGGAGAAGCGGCTTTTTGGCATCGCGGGACGGGCGAGGAGGAGGAGGAGGAAGGGCCGAGCCCCCGCCATGTCTCCCAAGCGCTGCCGGGGGTCGTCGGCGACCCCCCCGCCCCGAGGCGATGCGGAGGGACCCCCGCAGCCGGCGGTGACGGGGGGGGCGGCGGCGATGATGGGGATGGGGGTGATGGGGGTCCGCGGGCGGGGGGTCCGCAAGCGGAAGGAGACGGTGGCGGTTCGGCAGCGGGGTCCGCCGGGGAGGGGGGCGGGGGGAGCCGGGGGGGGCTCGGAGGAGGAGGAGGAGGAAGAGCAGCACCCCAACATCTGCGTGGAGTGCGGGAAGAGCTTCGCCAGGAGCGCGGCGCTCACCGAGCACCGGCGGAGCCACGGCGGGGGCGGCGGCGACCACCGGGTCACCTCCATCGCCCCCCCGCCGCCATCATCATCATCATCATCATCATCATCATCATCCTCCGGCGGCGGCGGCGACCACCGGCGCCCCTTCGCCTGCCTCGACTGCGGGAAGAGCTTCGGGCTCAGCGCCCACCTCGCGCGGCACCGCCGCGCCCACGCCGCGACCCCCCCGCACCCGCGGAGCTGCCGGGACTGCGGGAAGGAGGTGGGAGGGGTGGGGGGCACCCCAACCACCACCGCAACCCCCCCCGGCCCCCAAAGGCCCTACAAGTGCGTTGACTGCGGGAAAAGCTTCAGCCGGGCCAAGGAAACCCCCCCCGGGTCCCCCCATCCCGCACCGGCGGCGGCGGCGGCGGGGAAGCGGCGGCGGCGGCCGCGGGGAGGAGGAGGAGGAGGAGGAAGAGGAGGAGGAGGAAGAGGAGGAGATGGGACGGGCAGCGGCCCCAAACCACCCCCCTCGGCCCTCGGGGGGATCCCCAACACGTGCGGGGAGTGCTGGCAGAGCTTCAGCCAGAGCTCGGACCTGGTGAAGCACCTCCGCATCCACACGGGCGAGAAGCCCTACGCCTGCTCCCACTGCGGGAAGCGCTTCAACGTCTCCTCCAACCTCATCCGCCACCAGCGGATCCACACCGGGGAGAAGCCCTACGGCTGCCCCGACTGCGGCAAGAGCTTCACCGACAAGTCCACGCTGACCCAGCACCGGCGCATCCACACCGGCGAGAAGCCGTACGCGTGCGGGGTGTGCGGGAAGAGCTTCAGCCGCAGCTCCCACCACAAGCGGCACCAGCGCACCCACCAGGGAGCCCTCCTGCCCCTCTGGCCCTACCCCGGGCAGCCCTGCTGAGGAGGGGAGGGAGGGGATGTGGGGAGGGATGGAGGGGGTGGGAGGGATGGGGAGGGGAGGGGAGGGTCGCGGATGTAGCGGTGGAGGGGGTGGGAGGGGTGGGGAGGGGGTGAGGGGGGCGCCGGGACCCCCCTGAGGTGAGGGGAGTTTAGGGGAAGGGGAGGGTCTCCCTGCGTGTCCTGCTTGTGGGTCAGTCCGTGCCCCACTTGGAGGGGTTTGAGGTCCCGCTGTGGGTCGCTCTGTGCCCCACTTGTGGGTCTCAAAATGTTGGATTTGGGGGTCGTTCCATGCCCACTTACGGGTCCAAACACCTTGGACTTGGGGGTCGCTCCGTGCCCCACTTGGAGGGCTTGGGGGTCACGCTGTGGGTCGCTCCGTGCCCCACTTGGGGGTCTCAAAGTGTTGGACTTGGGGGTTGCTCCGTGCCCCACTTGTGGGTCCCAAAGTGTTGGATTTGGGGGTCCCAACACCTTGGATTTGGGGGTCGTTCTGTGCCCCACTTGTGGGTCCCAAAGTGCTGGACTTGGGGGTCGCTTTGTGCCCCAATTTTGGGTCCCAAAGTGTTGGATTTGGGAGTCATTCCGTGCCCCACTTGTAGGTCCCAACACCTTGGATTTGGGGGTCGCTCCGTGCCCCATTTTTGGGTCCCAAACTGTTGGATTTGGGGGTTGCTTTGTGCCCCATTTTTGGGTCCCAAAGTGTTGGATTTGGGGGTGGTTCCATGCCCCGGGGCTGGGGGGTGGCACCGGGGCTTTGCTGTAGAAGAGAGGAAGGAACGATGACGACAACAACAAAAAAATTGGAATAATAACAATAATAGTGATGATTCTTCTTGGTTCTTCTGTTATTCTTCCTCTCCTCCCACCCGTCCCTGTCCCACGGGTGCATCCCCACGGAACGGGGGGTTTTCAACCTCTGGGTGTTTTGTCTGTGGCCTAAAATACGAATTCCGGGGGGAGATTTAAAGCCTCTGGTCCCTGGTTCTCCCTCCACACCTTCCCTCCATCCCCAGGGACCAAAACGTGCCAGAAAAGCCCCCAAAATCCCCGGGATGGGGCTGAAATGGAGCCGGGGGGGTGGGAGGGGTCCCCCCACCCTTTAATGCCTTGACTCCCCCAAAACTCTCCCAACATCCTGAACTTTTGGGCTCGTTTATCTGGGAAGTTCTTCCTGCCCCGGGAGCAGCCGGGGGGTCTCTCCTGGGGGGTCTTTCCCGGGGGTTTATCCGGGAAGTTTTTCCTGCCCTGGGAAAAGCCGGGGGGTCTCTCCTGGGGGTCTCTCCCGGGGGGGATCCGGCCCAGGGTGGGGGAGATGCCAAAGCTCCTCCCGGAGGTGCCGCAGGGGAGCGGCTGCTCCTGGTCCCGGTGTCCATCCCGATCCTGTCCCGGTGTCAATCCCAGTCTCCATCCCAATCCCTGTTCCAGTGTCCATCCCCATCCCGATCCCTGTCCTGGTTCCGATCCCCATCCCAGTGTCAATCCCAATCCTGTCCTGGTGTCCAACCCAATCCCCGTCCCAGTGTCCATCCCGATCCCCATCCCAGTCCTGATGTCCATCCCAAACCCTGTCCTGGTCCTGATCCTCATCGCTGTGTCCATCCCGGTGTCCATCCTGATCCTGTCCCGGTGTCCATCCCCATCCCCGTCCCAGTTCTGATCCCCATCCCAGTGTCAATCCCAATCCCTGTCCCGGTGTCCATCCCAATCCCAGTGCTGGTTCTAATCCCCATCCCAGCGCCAATCCCAATCCCTGTCCCAGTTCTGATCCTCATTCCCGTGTCCATCCCCATCCCTGCCCCAGTGTCCTCCCAATCCCTGTCCCAATTCTGATCCCTGTCCCGGTGTCCATCCTGGTGTCCATCCCGATCCCTGTCCCAGTGTCCATCCCAATCCCTGCCGTGGTCCTGCTCCCCATCCCCAGTGTCCATCCCAATCCCTGTCCTGCTGTCCATCCCCATCCCCATCCCGGTGTCCATCCCGATCCTTGTTCCAGTGTCCATCCCCATCCTGGTCCCGGTCCTGATCCCCATCCCCATGTCAATCCCGATCCTTGTCCCGGTTCTGATCCCTGTCCCGGTGTCCATCCTGATCCTGTCCCAGTGTCCATCCCAATCCCAGTGCTGGTTCTAATCCCCATCTCAGTGTCAATCCCGATCCTGTCCTGGTTCTGATCCCCATCCCGGTGTCCATCCCAATCTCTGTCCAGCTGTCCATCCCAATTCTCATCCCGGTGTCAATCCCAATCCTTGTCCCAGTTCCGATCCCCATCCCAGTGTCCATCCTGATCCTGTCCCGGTGTCCATCCCGAACCCTGTCCTGGTCCTGATCCTCATCCCTTTGTCCATCCCTGCGTCCATCCCAATCCTGTCCCGGTGTCCATCCTGATCCTTGGCCTAGTGTCCATCCCGATCCCTGTCCCGGTTCTGATCCCCATCCCAGTGTCCATCCTGATCCCTGTCCAGCTGTCCATCCCAATTCTTGTCCCGGTGTCAATCCTGATCTTGTCCCCACGTCCATCTCCTGATCCCTGTCCTGCTGTCCATCCTGATCCCTGTCTCAGTGTCAACCCTGATCCCTGTCCCAGTTCTGATCCCCATCCCAGTGTCCATCCCCATCCTGTCCCGGTGTCCATCCTCATCCCTGTCCCAGTGTCCATCCCAATCCCTGTCCCAGTTCTGATCCCCATCCCAGTGTCCAAGCCCAGAATCCCCCCAAGGCCCCCCCAAAACTCCCCCCA